CTCATTTCTCTCATTCGGGAGCTTAAGACTGTTGACTTCACAGTAAAGGCTGTGGTCTGTGGTTAGGGGGCTTCAAACGTAAGCTTGGTGTGTGCGTTGGTAAGCCATTTTTTGAAGTTGACAACGAACACGTTTACTTTGTGTTTGATGTTCCGCACCTTCCCAAAACAACCAAGAGCAATCTCCAAGCCCACAAACTTTACATTGAAAATAAGGTCATTCAGTGGTCCTCTATTGTTGAACTTTATTGTTCTATTCATGAGATGAGCTTGCAATTGGCTCCGAAACTTACTGAGAGACACATTTTTTCAAGAGTCTTTCTGTAACATGGAAGAAAATTGTGCCCCACAGGTACTGAGTGCCTCACATTCTTGCAATCATATCCCTTGTTTATGCCAAGGAACTTCATGAGGCAGCCATGGCTACAGCCTATTTCTGTGATAGGATGTGCATACTTTTTGATTGCCTAAATAGCTAAAAAATTCAAGAGATGACAAAAGTTGCGTCATGCAATTCTGAAGGGAGAATCTGAAATACTTTATTTTCTCCACCAGTAACTCGGATCCCTACTAAAAAAACCTGTACAAATGTATACCGGCCTATACCGGTTCACACCGGAGTCCTGTATTCTCATATCAGTAACCGGTAGCTCTGTACCGGCGACCTGTAACCACGTAATGGCGAAGCCGATACGCCGTACCGGCTGCCCATACCATGTACAGGCGGCCGGTAAACACGTACGGGCACCGCCGGTAGGCCACACCGGTAACCGGTAACCACGTACCGGCGAAGCCGATACGCCGTAGCGGTTGCCCATATCATGTACAGGCGGCGAGTGAACACGTACAGGCGAAGCCGGTACGCCACACTGGTGGGCCGTAATAACGTACCAGTGGCCAGTAATCGATGCGCGGCTAACAGCAACCACGTATCGGAGCGACCGGTAACGCCTTACCGGCGCCGGCACTTAAACCGGCGGTCGGTAACCTTGCACAGGCTCTACCGGTATACACAATAGACCGATCTCGCTAAGCGTTGGGCGCATGCGTAAAGCCGCCATAACTTTAGTTCACAGGCGGCAGACGGCCGTGCACGCGAGGGTTCGTGCCTTCTCGTGCTCTACACGCGAAGAGCTCCAGCGAGGTTGTCGCACGTGCCCAAAGACTAAAGTTCCCTCGCTGCATTGCGGCAGCGGTGGCGTAGTCAAACTGGCCGGTGAGATCACTGATCTCTACTATAGGGGGCTGGATGGCGCTAAGCTGCTCTCCCAGCCCTGCGCAAGTGAAGCCACCGGAAGTTCGATGCTTGTCCCGGAAGTCGGGCGTGAGCTGGGCTTCCTAGTGCATTCAGTCGATATTTTGAACCGTGCTTTTTTGTGTCTTTGATTGGGCTTTAATACTCTCGTTCTGGATTAAATCCCGAGAATGCGGCATTTGAACTTGGGACATATTCACAACTTGATCAACTAGAGTCTCAAATTGTTTAGATTGAATGGCTTCCCATGATACTTCTCGGGTCCGCATGCGCTCTTACTGCGCAACAATCAGGCTCTCTTGAGGGAACAAGCGGAAATCCAGCGCCCTCGACGCTTTTCGAACCAGCACTCGGAAGGGTTACAAAGCCTGCCAAGCGCTCACTTCCGGGACAAGCCGCTCACTTCCGGTGGCTTCATACCTGTTTGCTCAATGCGCCATCCAGCCCCCTCTAGTAGAGATCAGTGGGTGAGATCGGTCTATTTAACGCAACCAGAAATTATCAGACCTCGACGGGAACGCGCGCACCGCGAAACTAAACTGTGATATTTTTTTTTCAATAAAGAATTTTAAGCAGAAAATCACATATTAGGTCATTTCAATTTAACAGTTTCAGCTATCAAACTCAATCATTTTATTACATGCATATTTAAAGTCATAAAATGCGAAAACCAAATCTATGGGAAGCGAGGCCGAGATAAACGAGAGTTTACTTCATAGCTCTGAGCCCTGTACCGTGGTAGTTTCGGTTTCGGTTTTTTTTTGACATCGGATTGGATTGGATTTCGTAGCTGCAAGCCCGAGTGCAGAAAAACAACCAACGACGGACAAACAATGCTTTTCTTAACATGAAATAAACTTAACATGGTAAGTTTTTATGCTTTTAAATCTTTTAAAAGTATTTTGAGTAATAATAGTACTAATATAAACTAAGGCAGATTATTTCTTCAATCCAATCCAATCCTTACGTACCCGCGCCGCTGGCCAGCTGGCCAGTTCTCTGAGCCAAAGCCGCATTGACGTTAGGGCTATTATCGAACGGTCTGTATCGGCGTCGATATGCTCTAAGCGTACGTGATATATGTTGATGGCGCGAAGGGAATAGTCAGCGTGAACCGTATCAAGAAGTTCAAACCGGCGAGCGTTGGCGACTTCGACCCCGACGTGCCGAAAAGCGTCTACTGGAAGGCTGTTGGAGCGTGCGCCGGGGAATGGTAAGTTGTTTTCTACGCATCAGGGGCTCGAAGTACAACGTTTTGTGCAAACCGTTAATAGGGAGTTTTCGTGGATCGTTTTCGCCGTACCGCAACGCCCTCCGCAACTCGCTATATACCTGGAACTCTACAGTCAAGGCTATCGGCGTGCAGGCGCAGTAGTAACTTCTTCGTTGCGGAAAGATTAGCGGAGGGGGAAACGCGGTCTACTAAAACTCCCGAATGTTCGCGAGCCCCTAATTTTTGGCAAATTCTACACGTCCAAAAATTAGCGAAATTTAAGGACACGTGGAAAGCGGAAATTTGGTGGGCCCCCGTTCCGGCGTCCCCCGTTCCGGCGTCTAGAATTCGCGAAATATGGTGGGCAAGAATATGTCCTTGCGCCGGATTTGTAAAGAACTGGGCGGCAAAAGCTACAATGTTGAACTACAGGGCGCTCCAGATGGCAGCCACGACATTTAAAATAAATCACAACAAATCGGCTTTGTAAGCTACGACAACTTTACCACATAAGTTCGACTAGGTGGTGCATTTAATTTGTAAAAATATAGAAAAAAAAAGACTTGTTGAAACAAGGGTTATAGCGCAGGCTAGCTCGTGAACGGTCATATTTATAAACTTCGATACAAGGGGGTGGGGGGAAGGGGGACAAACACGACTTTGAGGTGTAGCTCAATGTGCATGTCTTGTCTTACAGAGACACGAGGTCAGCTGGTTGCTGCTTTGAAAAAGAAGCATGCGGCCATCCCTATGATATTGTACTCAAGATACGAGGTATATGTGCACCTTTAAACTGTTTTTCTTACCCCATTCTTAGACTGTTCAGAGCCAGCGGCCTTAAGTTCGTCTTTTGCGTCCCTTCTTCAAATCGGCACCATACTTCACTTCTGTTACCGGTGGGCAGTAATTGTGGGTAAAATTGCACGGTTAGGCTAAGGAATCTCTTGCATTTTGTTCGCCTCATGAGTAATTGTGTCCATTCATTATGGCTAATCAGGACTATTTGTATATACTTTTTTTTAAAATTTCTTGCTATTCTGTTACACAGATTCGGTGGGTAGATACGCTCTATGAAAGTGGACCACGAGCCGCACTTGAACACACAAAGAGCCGCAGCTTGGCCACTCCTGGCCTTGGTTGTGCTGTAGCCGAAGTTGTCCGTCTTCAATTTTAAGAGATACTCTCCTGCTCGTTTCTCGACCGCATTATATCTGAATTTGACTCTCTTCAGTCTTACGAGGCGTCCTCACCTGCTCTAAGTCTCAATCTCGTTGTACTCAAAGGTGCATCTCTTCTCCACTATCGCAAGATGTTCTCGTTTGTTTGGCGTCCTGCTTGCGTTGCAGCCGAAGTTTCCTCTTTTGAATCTTTTCATCCGCTTCGATGGTCCTCTTGTTGCTACTTTCCTTTCTAGCTTTCAACAAACATGTTTCATGTTGTTCCGAAGTGCCCTAGGCACTTTGCTGTCGCTGTGCCTCAGCACGCTTGCGTGTAGGTTAATCTGGTGAGACCTGCTTTTGCATACCGACAACGATAGATGAGGCTCAAGTCTGGTTCACAGAGCTCTCCTCAGATATGGCTCTGCGCGACTGCGACCAGATGTGACACTCATTGCTATGGCAACAACGGCGTTGAGTCACTGGCACGCGCATCAACGCAGCTCTTGCCTGCACCCAGTAACTCTTTCGCAAATGCTTGGCCATGTGTGCTCGTAGTGAAGCGGATACGATGCCCGGCTTAGACCCCAACAGTTGTGGGTTTGAGGCACAGTGCCGGCGGCATGTTTTTCTTTTCTGAATTATAATGTGCCGGCGCATGCTGTTTTCAAATGCAGTTACAAATCCTCGGACCAACGGAGGCCTAAGGTGCATAGGGTTTGCTTATAAATGCTATCGTATTTAAAAGTACTGGATTGCAAGTACAAAGTAACTGAGAGTTTACGTACCTCATAGAAAGTACACTGGGTGCAAAGTAGTATAATCACAATTTACTTTCTAACTAACTGAGAAGTACCTTTTAACACAATATTTTATCTTACTATTTCGTTTACCTATACAGTGCTTTTTGCCAACAGGTACACGTAGCGCAAACAGATACACGCTTCGTCCTTTACACACTAGAATGTGTAAAGGACGATGTAGCAATTATTTCCTGAAATGACAGTGAATACTGGATATACGGTAATGGGCATCTGGAAGCATTCTTTCAGGGGGAGGGTGCAATCACAGGTATATTGCTGAAACATACACCTAGAAAATAAAAGGGGGGGAGGCGATTTAATGTGAACTATGTGTGTACGAATCATGTGTTGGAAGTTTATATTAAATGAATATTGAAATACGTGGACCTTTTTTCTTTTCGAGATTGAGATGTCGCCATTCCCTGCAGTGGGTGGCAAGTACAAGAAAAAAGAAGACGGAGGACAAGACGTCCACTGTGTCGCTTGGGGAGCATGCCTGACTGGTTGAAAAGCCGCGGTCGGCAAAGCAGAGGGTGGTGAACCTGGAGCAGGAGCTCCAGATAGAGAGGACGCTGTCAAGAAGACTGCAGTAGCAGCTGCTGGCACTACTGGGTAAGCGTGGAGGCACTTTCAGTTGCCCACCTTACACACACACATTATGTGCTCACGCTTTATCCGAGGGATCAAAAGTAACTTTAATTTTTTTTTGGTCGCAAACATAAGTAAGCGTGTGCTACAGGGTGGCCTCAATGTATCAATGAGTTAGTGTCTATAATTCTCTTTTCTTCTCTTAGGGTGCAAATGGAGCTTTGATAGTTTGTTTCTTCTTGCTGATGCCGATAACCCCGTTTTGCTTGGCAACACTGTTGTTTTGACCTAAAAAATATTTTTTTGCAGTTCGTCAAACAATCATGTCCATACCAAGACACCATGGTCTGTGCGCATAGATGAGGCTTGAAGTGAAAGTTTGTTCTGTCGGTCACAACATTGTAAATATGCACTTTCCGATGAGCCCGGCCAGCGCACGTCCTTTCGTTATTGGGGAGGAAGGAGTTCTTTTTGTTGAGGAGGAGGGAGTGAGGAAGCTGGTCGTAGGCATGACCACAGCACCAACAAGGCTGAACTTTAATCGGGCGGCAGATTGTGCCTAGCGACGCAACTGTGCAACCGGTTAAAAGGTGGCCAGACGATCTGCTACAGCATTGGATTTCGTCAGAAAGATTGAGCTTATATCTCGCGAACCGTCGGAAGTGCTAGGTATGAATATTCATTAGGTATTCACCGGTATTTTTTTGTAAACATGCTCTCTGCCGCCCAGGGGCGGATCCAGACCTCCATTTTAGGGGGGGCGGTTCCTCGGTGTTAAACGGCGGGGGGGGGGGGGGGGGGAGAGGGAAGTGTTTATATTTTTTGTGGAGTTATCGTTTTTATTAAACTCTGATAACATAATATAGATCTTGAGAGCTTTTGTATCGGTTTACCTGTCGGGGATGAACTCTTTGAATTAAAACCTTTCGGGTGACCACGCTAGAGGTAAGTGTCTCGAAAATTGTGGTGACACTATCCTTTCTGAAATTTGGGTTTCAGACCGACACTACGTGAGCAGTCGATTTAGGGCAGCTTAAAGACATGGCCTTGGCAAACATTCTGGTTGGAGCTAGTGCTCAACTGCTGCGGCAACGGGAAGAGCGGCTTAAATCAGCGGAGCGAGTACGTTGCAAACAAGCGACAAAAATGACCCGGCGGCTTCGACGCTGCTCGCGGCGTCGAACACTGTTGACGGAGCGAGCGAAACGAACGCTGCCAGGCAAGTTCGTTGGCTGTTCGCCGTATATTTGGAATGTCCAGAGCGCAGCACATGCGGCATTGCCAATACGAACTCGTGTTTTCACGTGTTCTGGATGCAACTCGAGAGAACGAAAGCGAATAATTGTTGAATATTTTTGAAAGCATGTTGCAGTTCGGCAACTATAACTTTTAAACTTAGACAAGACCTTAAACCAGCAATGGATCCTTCCAAATTATATTCAATTGCACTTCGTCTGGATATTTTCTGTATGGAAAGAACACTTACATGTTTCTGGGTAGTTAGCTCATTCGTCAGGGTCGAGAGGACATGTGCAGAGATATGATGGGGCAGAGCGGTTGTCTGGTCGGCGAATCTCAACTGGGCTAAAGGCCGATCACGACTGCAGCATGGATGTTTGGGAGTCGGTGTTCACTGGAACGGGCACAGGCACTGTCTATTTAATTTATGTATAGCCACATCTTTGAAAGGGCTCGTTTTCCCCAAGTCCGTTCAACACGCACATATTCGCTCCTGCAAAGCCGCGCGAAAGCTCTGCCGTCAATCCACAGAAGCCGCGTTTAACTGGAAAAGACAGCGCCAAGGGGAGACAAGGGGTAGCGGGCGCCTTTCCTAAATTATGTCCCGCCACCCTAAGTTGAAACGGCATCGTATAGAAATAAATGCCTACGGCGTCGGCTTGAGGACCCCGTCTAAGCAGCCTCCAACCTTTAGAGTGCACTTACCGTTTATCTTTCTTTTATTAGCTTCCCGCCACGAGAAGTCGTACCGCAGGCAGTATGAAGCACATTAGAGGAAACATCTCCCCCTTCTGGCGCTCGTCGGCTTCTTTCTGTATTCCGCGCTGCGGCGCTGATCCTCAGTGAGGGATGGAGGCGAGGACGAAAGCCGGCTTATGTTTAAGCCAAGGTCGTGGGGAAGTCCGGAGCGTCTTCAGGAGAAGCTCAGACCCAGACTACACTGTACCCAAAGTATTTGCTTCCTCTCTCAGTTGAGAAGAAAAGCAATTTGACACTTGGTTGTACAAGCTGCATCCCCCCCCCCCCCTGGAACGTCTCCTCCCGGTACGTCCCCTCCGCACTTCCCTCGGCAATGAGCACACCGTGCCAATAAGATACCTTTAGTGAGCCCGTGGGCGACAGCATCTCAAAGCAAGCCAAAAAAGACATGCCAAAAGACAAGCCCAGAACCACGAAGAAACCATCAAACGAAAAGTGATGAAAAGGCTGCCGCTAGAGAGGAAGGATAATCCGCTACCCTTGAGGAAGGCTGCTTGACGTCTGCGTTTGGGAGCTTTCAGGGCACAAATTTTTCGCAGACCACCCCCAAAGAGAGAGAGAGAGAGAGAGAAAGGGGACTAGATATGTTGAAGGTATTCTCCCCTCGTGCTCGACGTGCTGGCCTTGTATGGAAGTGTGCCTGCAGTCGAGGACCATGATATTTGGTGCGCCTCCCCACTGTCTCTCCACTTCGAAACTCCTGGCGCCGTCCCTGTCGGGAAGACGTACCGTGGCCTTGACGGAGATAAACCCCACTTTGGAAGCGCCCAGCAGGCGCGTCCACTCACCGGTGTGTTAATCTTTTGTTTCTCGCGTCGATTGCTTACGTTTTTCTTCGAGCTGACGAAGAACCCCGGGGGGGGGGGGGTGGGGGGTTGCCTGGCGAGGCGTTTGGGGGGGGGGGGGGGGGGGCGATCGCCCCCACCGCCCCCCCTTGGATCCGCCACTGCTGCCGCCCACTGCCGGCAAATTTGAGCGCATTTTCCTTTTTTCCTCTTTTTCTTTTTTGGTTTTGCTTCTCGTCCTTTTTTTTGTGTTCTGCTCGCACCACTTTTCCGGCCCCGGTGTGTTACGGAAAAACAAATAGGCACACTGCCGTGGCATGAAGTACTATGAAGCCCTCATGCCGTTAACGTACCAGGAAAGTGCTGAAGTCCGAATAGCCAAGCATGTCTGAATTTTTGGCGTGCGAAAAATCTGTCCACTCCTGTACCGTGTCTTGTTTCTAGACAGTGTTTTATTATGTTGCAGTGGACAATGCCCCGTCTGGCAGTGTTGGGTCAGCTCCTCCAGCTTTCCCAGCAGCAGTTCCTGCAGCTGGTGCTCCTGCTCCATTTCGCGTTGTGCGAGCTGGTGTAGATCACACTCGACCCGTACCGGCCGCTGATGCTGCTGTTCCAGCAGCGGTTCTTGTAGCAGGCCCACCGGAGGCACCTTCCGAGTGTGTGCCAGTGATTGCAGAGGTCGATGATGAGGTAAGTTCAGAATTTCATTGAATATTCATTTCAGATATTGGGCAAGTAACTACATTTTATGGTTTCCACAGCTCCTTGAATGAGGTTATTTGTAGGCTTCCTTAAATTGAACCATCGTCTTGCTTCAAAATGCTGATGAATGTAAAGAGTAGAACCGGGCATTGATAAGATATTTCTTACCAATTAATTGGCGCTTTTTTGAAACGTTTTCTATCTAGTGTCCTTGTTTTATTTCGAGCTTTTTCATAAATCGTGTACCACGAGCCCAGATTAAAATTCTGTTATAATTGGTACCCTTCTTTCGCTCTTCCTCTTTACTCAGAACTCACCTAAACGGACACTTACACCCCCCCCCCCCCCCCAAAAAAAAAAAAAAATTTAGTTTTTTCCAGGCGACTTATTATGGTGTCGAAAGCCCCGCAGGGGGCACCAGTGAAAGCAGGTGTTTGGAGAGTGGCGTCTCCACGGACCCCGAGCCATGCGGGTTCGCCTGCCCACGTATGGCTGTGCGTGGCTTTCCCGTATCTGGGGAAAAGGGCATCCTGGTGGTTGAGCCAAGCCCGGGGTAGGTTTGGACCCTTCGGGGCCCCCCGGGCGAGGCAATACACCACTTCGACCCCCGCTTCTCATAGACGGGAGTCCTGGTAAGGCCCGGCCAGGATGATTCAGTCTAGTCGCCACTTTTACTATCCCCTCCCTTCCTTCACCCTTGTCTTCTCCTTCTTTTCACTCTTCTCATTTCTCTTCTTTCCTTTTTCAACTCTTTTGGCGGCAAGGGCTAACCCTGGGTGGCGGCAGACACCTTGTCTAGAACCACACTTGGTTATAGAAACTGGGCAGCACTAATAGAGTAACGTCTTCAGCCAAGCCATTCTTGTTATGGAGCGTTACCTATTCCCTTGTTGGGCTCGGTGGTGGGCGGTGCACCACAGTTTCCGAAAACCCTCCCGCTTCATATGGGTTCCAAACATAAACCTTTTGATCGGCCCCCCAAAAGGGGCCGCACCGAAGCACTGAACATGATGAAAGAATCTTTCGTACTGCAGAAATTCCCGAAATTCCTTGTAATGCACTCGGAAGGTGACAAGCCACTTGGCAAACTTTCTCCCTTTCTGGTCTCCAAAGTTCTTGAAGGTGTTATTGGCTCCAATTACAGTGCAAAAAAGATGGCTTCTGATGATCTCCTTGTCGAGGTCAACACAAAGCAGCAGAGTGATGCCCTTCTCAAACTCAACCTTGTCTCCGACTACAAGGTAAGCGTCAGTCCTCACCGCAAACTGAACAGTGTTCAAGGAGTCATTTCTGAGGATGACCTGCTTGACTCACCTAAGCCAGAGATAATTGAGGGCCTCCCTAGTCAAGGAGTTACAGATGCACGACGAATCACTATCCGCCGTGATGGTGTGGAACGGAAGACAAAACATATCATTTTGACTTTCGATTCAACCACTCTGCCACAGACTGTAAAAGCAGGTTACCTTCAGTGCCGTGTCCGACCTTATGTGCCGAACCCTCAACGGTGCTTTAAGTGCCAGAGGTTCGGCCATGGGTCACGGAACTGTCGGGGAAGGGACACCTGTGCAAAGTGCTCCAGCAAGGAGCACGTCACAGATGCGTGCAATAATGAGCCCCATTGCGCAAACTGTGGTGGCAACCACCCGGCATACTCCCGCTCTTGCCCTGTGTGGAAAGACGAGAAAGAAGTTGTTACATTAAAAGTCACTGAAAACATCACGTATACTGAGGCAAAGAAGCGTTTTGCCTTTGTTTCAAAAGGCACTTATGCCGAGGCCGTGCGGAGGGGACCAGCTCGGCCAATGGTTTCGATGGGAACGCAGACGTCTCCGGACGACCTGCATCTCCCATCACGGTCCCCCTCGAAACCCCCGGGAGCGGCGCCGGTGGCACCGCCTCCGAACCGCAAGGTGAATGCTGCCTTGCCAGCATCCACCCCAGAACAGGAGATGACGTCTCCTGCTCAACCAGCTGCTTCGACCTCTCGGGGTCGGGGCCTACCATACCCACACCTCTGCTCCCCAGAGGAAGCCTGGGGAAGTGCCAAAGCAGTCGACCTCCAAGGGCCAGCTGCCAGCAACTGCAGACGAGCCCATGGACGAGGGTGGGTCGAGATCTGATGAGGAGGCTCTCCTCTCAAGATCAGAGTCCACCCCCTCTGCCTCCGGTGACTCTAACCGGAGGCAGAATAACCCCCCCAAAAAACAAAGTGCACCGCGTGTAAAAATAGATTTTAAACCGTAAGGAATATAGCTTTTTAGTAGAATTTGTATGTTATACTTATTTTGTTTTAAATGGTTAAAAATATAGGTATAATGCAGTGGAACTGCCGCGGTCTTTTACGAAATATTGATGATGTCAACTTTTTTCTCGATGAGCTCCAGCCTGTTGCCATCTGTTTACAGGAGACTCATCTTAATGAAACACATACACAGGTACTACGGCGACATCAGGTTTTTAGAAAGGACCGTGTTTCTTGCAACAGCTCTTCTGGTGGAGTAGCTGTGGTTGTGCAGAGTGGTATTGCCTGTGCTCCTGTCCCTCTTGCGACCCACTTAGAGGCAGTAGCAGTTCGTGTTCTGCTTGACCGCCTAATTACAATTGTCTCGCTTTACCTTCCACCAAACCTTACAGTGCATGTACATGACCTGCAAGGACTTGTGGGCCAACTCCCGCAACCTTTTTTAATCTTAGGAGATTTTAATGCACACCACCCCATGTGGGGCAGTGGTCGTCAAGACTCCCGTGGTGGTGTCACAGAACGTTTTTTACTGTCATCTGGCCTTTGCCTTTTAAACAAGAGACAACCGACTTTTTTTAGTGCACCTCATAATACTTTTACTTCCATTGATCTTTCCATATCATCACCTGCTTTACTTCCTTGTTTTTCTTGGAAGGTTTTAGAAAATCCTTTTGGTAGTGACCATTTTCCTGTAATTTTAGAAAGTTCAGTATCCCTTCCTTCTCTTCAAGCTTGTGCTCCCAAGTGGAAATTAGATAAAGCCGACTGGTCTTTATTTTCTCTGGAGGCAGCCGTCGATCCCGCTGTTTTTTTAGCTATGTCTCCTGAGGAAGCGACTCTTTACCTTACTGAAAAAATTATAAATGCTGCTTCTCTGTCAGTTCCCCGAACTTCTGGAAATATTCCCAAGAAATGCAAGCCTTGGTGGAACAAGGACTGTACGACCACCATAAAAGCTCAGAATAAGGCTTGGGGAAGGTTTCGGCGGTACCCGACAGTTCAGAACAAGATTAAATTCAAACAGTGCAAAGCAAAAGCTCGTTGGACACGAAAACAAGCCAAGAGGACCTCATGGGTAAAATATGTATCCTCTCTGAACAGTTTTGTTCCTGCAAAAGAGGTATGGGATCGTGTTCGGAAAATTCGGGGTACTTACCACTCCTTCAGTATTCCCCTTTTTCCTTCATCATCCCCATCACTAAAAGATCAGGCTGACATTCTTGCTGATCATTTTCGAGAGGTCTCCAGTTCTTCAAATTACAGTACTAAATTTAAAAAGTTCAGGTCTTTGGCAGAAAAACAGCCAATTGATTTCTCTGGAAGTGATACTGGTTACAACCGGCCGTTCACAATGTATGAACTTGAAATAGCCCTTGCAGTAAGGAAGCAGTCGGCACCAGGCCCAGATATGATTCATTATGAACTGCTGAGGCACTTGTCGGCTGAATCCTTGATGAATTTGTTGTCTTTCTTTAATCATTTATGGGCAGCTTCTTGTTTTCCACAGTGCTGGAAGCAAGCACACATAATTCCCATCTTGAAGCCTGGCAAAGACCCTTCCCTACCAGCAAGTTATCGGCCTATCGCTTTGACTAGTTGTCTAGGAAAAACTTATGAACGGCTTATAAACAGAAGGCTAGTATACATTCTAGAACAAAAGAAAATTTTCGATAAAAACCAGTGTGGTTTTAGAAGAGGTCGCTCAACCTTGGATCACCTTGTCCGGTTGGAGACTTTTGTTCGTGAGGCTTTTGTGAACCGGCAGCATTGCCTTTCTGTCTTTTTTGATTTACAGAAAGCTTATGATACGGCATGGCGGTACGGAATACTTCAGGACCTGTTTAGGTGCGGTGTTCGAGGTCGCATGCTGCGTTGCATAAAGGACTTCTTGACAGACCGTTGTTTTCAGGTCCGCCTGGGATCCACGCTCTCGGATGTTTTTACACAGGAAAACGGCGTCCCACAGGGAGGTGTCTTGAGTGTTACCTTGTTCGCAATTAAGATCAACAGCCTCGCTGCAGTTATACCATCATCAGTTTTTTATTCATTGTACGTAGACGATGTCCAGATTGCTTTCTCCTCATGCAACTTGTCAATTTGTGAGCGCCAATTGCAGATAGCAATAAATAGGATGAGTAAGTGGGCTGATGAAAATGGTTTTCGGTTTGCACCAGAAAAAACAGTGTGCGTGCCTTTTTCATTACGTTGGGGGTTGTCGCTAGATCCCAGCTTGCACTGACATAACCGTTAGGCATGAACACAAGTTTTTGGGTGTTATTTTTGATAAGAAGCTCACTTTTCAGCCCCATCTAAGGGAACTGAAGCGAAAGTGTCTTAAATCTGCCAATGTTCTCAAGGTACTTGCACACGTCTCCTGGGGTTCTGACAGGAGATGCCTCCTGCGACTCTACAACTCGCTGGTTCGTTCCCGTCTCGATTATGGTGCAGTTGTATATGGCTCGGCACGACCGTCATCTTTAAAAATGCTGGATCCTGTGCATCACCTTGGGCTTCGACTTGCCACGGGGGCCTTCCGAACGTCGCCTGTTCCGAGTTTGTATGCAGAGACGCACCAAATGCCACTAGAAAAGCGAAGACAGTTCCTCAGCCTATGCTATAGTTATAAAGTCAAAACTGATCCTGAACACCCATCCTATCGTTGCTTGCAGGTATCTCCTTTTTCACGTCTTTTTGAGAACAAGCCAAGTATAGTACGGCCTTTATGCCTCCGCATTCAATGCATGTCTACATCCCTGCAACTTGCGCTTCCTGAGCGTAGCTTGATGACGAGAGTTCGAAGCATTGCTCCTTGGAAGGCGGTTCACTATACCTGTGACTGGTCGCTAGCGAAATACAATAAGCGATCTGTTGCACCACTAGTTCTTCAGCAAGAGTTTATGGCCTTGCAAGCTAAGTATAAGGACTATGCACAATTCTTCACTGATGGTGCAAAAACTCCACACTTTGTCGGTTCAGCTGTATATTCAGAACACTTTGTAAAAGCTCGACGGCTTCACTCTGTTGCCGGCATTTTTACTGCGGAACTTTATGGTGTGCTCATGGTTATTGAATATATATTAGGCAACAACATCAAAAAAGCTATTTTGTTTGTGGACTCCCAGAGTGCTATCCTTTCTCTCTGTTCCCTCAATGATTCTAAGAATCTGCTCGTGCAACAAGTTCAGGCAGAGTTAAACCTGGCTTTCCAAATGGGATACAATATCAAGCTGTGCTGGGTACCAAGCCATGTGGGAATTTCAGGTAATGAAAAGGCGGATAGGCTAGCAGCCTCCGTTAAGGATGCTCTGGAAACACCGGTTCAGCTGCCTCAAGAAGATTTTAAACCGGTTCTCAAAAAAGCAGTTTATTATGCCTGGCAGCAAGACTGGGACAAAGAAATAAATAATAAGCTACATGTTATCAAACCACGTTTGGAGTTATGGGAGAGTTCGCACCATAGAGACCGTCGCCATGAAGTCTTAATGTGTCGCTTGAGAATTGGACATTCACGTATCACCCATCGACATCTTCTTTGTGGTGAGGACACCCCAGTCTGTGAGCATTGCGGTGAATCGCTAACTATACTGCATATTCTATGGCACTGCAAATTTTTTGATCAGGAACGCCGGACGAGTTTTTCTTTACTCTCTGGATATCTTCCATTTCATCCAGTCTTCTTACTGGGAGATGAACCTTTAGTTCCTTTTGATCACATTTTAGATTTTCTTAAAAAAACTGGCTACCTGCACCAGTTATAGATCCTCTGCATAGTGCATTGCATAGTAATTCCTTCCTTCTACTATAGAGTCTTTTAATTATCTCTTTGGCGCAGCATGGCCTATGTTGCTTTTTGCGCCATTAAACACCTAATAATCAATCATGGTGTCGAAAGACTAGATAATTAATATTTTGCAACAGTCACATATATTTTTATTAAAGCCAGAAAACGCAACTGCCCAGAACCGAAACTGAAACCCGTGCACGGAGGTCGGAGAGAGTGAGTGGGAGAGGTCACGTGGCTACACCTGACCGTGAGCTTTTTTGTTTTCCCTTCCGTGTCCTTTTTTTTTGTGTGTGTACACCAGACGACATGCATGGCTAGAACTGTTTGCTATGCGATTCCTTTGCAGTTATGTTTGTTCCGCTCTCTGTTCTGCACTTCAAGATGAGTTGCTCTTTACATTGAGAAGTTGAAGATGAGTAGTGAGTGCCCGTGGTGAATTTCCGTGATCAGCTGCGAAAAGAATACCACCAAGATGTTGCGTGAAGAGCTGCCTCGCATGTCCTGCGTCGAAAAAAAGTGTCATTGTGCGGCAGACGTCTGCACAAGTTTCCGAAAGATCGAGATCGGGACCAATGGCTGGCTGCATTTCCTATAGAGCATTTCTATCTATTTCTAGGTTCACCTTGGTCACGGTGTCTTGGTGCAAAAGTACAAACTGTCCTACGTCAGGGGAGCCCGGGGAGACTCCATCTTCGTTAAAGAGGCTACGAAGCTGATCTTCGGCAGGGAGGACCTGCATGGGCCGAGTGTGAGGTGTGCCATGACGGCGCTTTAAGGGCGCCATGGCCAAGAGGGCCCTGACTCCAGTCAGTCAAGTTGGCAGCAGTCAGCAGTAAGTGCGCACTTCTCACAGATGTCTCATACTTGGTGAGACATTCAAACCTTATGGCTTCCGAAGTTGCAATCTGCTACGACAAAATGAATGGCATAAAATATTCCAAGGGCTTCAGAACTTTCAGTGTTATAGGCTGTTGAAGGGTCACAGTTCGACTAGCTCGAGCTTTAGGAACGTGAAGCTTTGAGCGCAAAACCGAAATGAAGAAGCCCTATCTCCTTCTTTGTTATTAATATATGAAGAAAAATAAATTGACCTTGTCACGGTCATCTAGGTCGCTTGGCACTTTCTGATGCATTCACACTATGGAGCTTTTACAGCAACATGCTCCGCGTCGCAAATATCTGCTAATCCCTGCAACTTTTGGGGGAGGTCCATGATATCAGTGGCCTGCTCGCAGGACCTTCTGCTGGCTTCCCGGCGGAGCTGTGAGGCACTTATTTTTTCTTTTGAACGAAAAGCTGGCACTAGCAAAGTTGTGAAACAAGTCTGTTTGTCTACTGGAGCTGCTGCAACCGAACTATGTTTGAGTCTGTCCTTTGAGTACTGCCCATTTTTTCTAAATTACCTTCTCATCGCGGGTATTCCTCCTATCACGTATGAATGGACCATTGAAGGGTCGTGACACGAATATTAAATTTGTTAAATGATTCTTGATGTCAAATCTGTGTTGTTAATTTATATACATGCCCAGAACAACATTTGCGGCTCAAAATCTTTCTTTCGCACAAAAACCGCCGGCCGAGAATTGTGTGTTCAATGTTCTTTTCACTTGTTTCCATGGTGACATTGTTGGGCATGAAATATGTTCGAGGCTTTAGGCAATCGGAGGCCCATGTTCATAATTGAAAATACATATTTGAATTCATAGAACATACTTTCATTTTAGTTAACAGGCAGGCGAGCTGGTTAAGGATAGACTTAGTAACCCGGGAGCGTGGGGACAAAAAGGGACAGACACAAAGCTCCGGAGCTTCGTGTCTTTCCGTTCCTTTTTGTCCCCCTGCTCCAGGGTCTATAATTTGTATAGACACTGAAATGCAAGGAACACACTGTTGCAAGCAAACTTTAAGTGCATAGTTGTGGGAAGTCACACTAGGTCTTTTCGATTTGCTTGAACCAGCATATATAGTTCAAATAGTGTAAGAACTGATGTATTAGATTCAATCGGATGTTGCTTGGACGCTGAACAGGGCCTGTTCGATTTATCCCAGTGCTGCACGAGCTCAGCCTCAGTTCCACAGAATCTCGCGCTGGCTGAAGTCAGTTCAGCGTTCATGCAGTAAAAGGTGGCAACTCCTCGGTCTTTCAGAAACCAATTGCAGGGTCGTTTGTAACGCTGCAGCTTAACTTCACGCAGCCGCAGCCCGACTTGCGCACTGCTTCTGCACTCCTACTAAGTCGGTCTGAACTGGTTCAAAACTTTCTGGCCGAATCATGCATACCTGCTGTTTTCAGCAGACTGCGTAATCGTAAGAAGTTGCTCTTGGAGTCTACATGGTATCACAAGATATTAACAAAGCATAAATTGTAGTGGAAATTGCTTGCTTATAATTGCAGGAAGTAAAATATTAAACTTTTCGAGAAACTGTAGATATACATCACTTATTGTTGTATTATTTTCCCCTGCAGATGCCTTCAACGAGTACATATGAAGGCATCCTCGAGAGGCCTCTCCAGGGAAGAGGACAGCTCGGGTCAACCTACTGCAGTATGCCAATGTGTTAATATCCTACTGCAGGATATTAACAAGAAGCTTGACTTCTAAGTTTGCTTAGAGGTTAAGATTCTTGTTGATGTTCTGCAGTATGCCAATTTTCCTTCACTAAATACACGTATAACCTGAAATGACCTGGCTCATGCTCATTCTTTGCATGACAAATGCATGCGAATTGTTAAACCTGCAAAGATCCGTACGTCCGTATGCAAACGTTAAACACCTTGTTGATTCCTGTCACTGCGTCACAACAGGTAAACCTGTAAAGATATAGGTTTCTCGATCTGAACAGGTGATTCTGTATAAATATTGGTTCCTATATCTGAATGGGTCATCCTGTGAGGTACGGGTTTCTATATCTAAACGGGTCAACTCGTACAGGCACGGTTTCCCTTACCGAAACGGGTCAACCCGTACAGGTATGAGTCCCGTATCAAAACGGGTCAGCGCATACAGGTACGGGTTCCTGTATCTGAATGGGTCAACCTGTACAGGTACGGGTTCCCAGTAGCATACGGGAGACCCGTACCCCACAACACCGTATGAAATATACGGGTCAACCAGTATGAATTTTTATACGGGTTTTTTCAGTAGGGATGGATTTCAGCATGGCAGTTCCAAAGTAGGAGGCAGCCATAAGCCATCATTGGGTGGCAAGTTACTATAAAAAATGTCCTCATGCTCTGGGATGAGCTTTCAAGCATCCATGACTTTAAGTTCTTACTTACACGACGCCTGCAGCAAGACACATTTGAGAACGTTTTTGGAGCTATATACGACAAATGCTGGGCTGCAACACAAACCCAAATGTGCACCAGTTCACCTCAGGACTAGAACACCTCTCGATAAAGAAACTGTTCAAACTGTCGGACAATAAAAACGTAGAGGATGACAAGGCTGACCTCCTAAAGGAGTTGCAAATATCTTCGTACCATGAAAGTTTAATTTCAGACATTGTGGAATGTCTTCCAATTGATAAGTTCCCGCCACTAGAGGATATTTCTGAGCTGGCATCAGATATCAGGTCTAACATAATTGATGACTCGTCCACTTTTTTATTACGTTTGGGGCTATTTGATCAAGCTTTTGCTTGAACAGACAACTTACAGCTGTGGCTGTTTTAGGCTGCTATCGGATGGGTCTAATAACTTGACCAGGCCTCACCAGTACTGTCTTGTTCCTAAAGCATACCACGTGCCTGGAAAATTCTTCGGGAACTTAGTAGTACCATCACAGACTGCTTTTCATTTCATTCAGCAACTAGAAAATCACTTTCTTCCCATAATAGAGAGTGTGACACATATTTGAGGAGTGTGTGCCGCGTTGTATAGCACACTTTGAGGTCTGGGTGGTTTTAGCCTTTGCCCAGAGGAATACCACAAAGGGTTTTTAAAATTGTTTTGCAGAATACGCTTGTGTTGACATGTTTGATTTCTTAACCGGAATTTGGACAAAGTTCGGTTGCACTCTTCAGTGGCTAGTAAGCAACGAGACAGGTTTAACTGTTAATAGAGTATTAACTGAGGCGGTTGCCAAACCAAAAACAAAAAGTGCTTATCAAGTGGGCGGTGCAGCTTGCTCTCCAAATATTTGCTTCCCCTTTTTCCAGCGAATGTGTATCACGGCTCCCTAAGAAAAACATTTGTCCACTTTTTACAAAATTTAGATAGAAAATTGTGTATAGAGGCTAAAAATATTTGAAAGAAAATGTATCCACTTTTGTATCCACTGTCCATAGTTTTTTAGCCGCTTTTTTCTGAAGCCATATTTCTGTTCTGAACAATTTCGGGGAATGTTTAGGGACGTTGAATCTTGTCAGATTTCGAATAGAGTTCTCATTGTTTGGTAATGGCTCGCCCGCAGTGAGTTTGAGGCTATGCGAATCGGTGTTTTTTTATATTTGTCGGAAATCGGGAATTTGTATTATCCGGCGTGTGCTTCGCACTGTTATTATACTTTTATGACTGGTAATGATAGCGATGTCTTATTTATTTTGGCACTTAATTCCCGTACCCGAGTCGGCGTGAAAGTGAATGTATCATACAACATGTTCTCCGTGGAAAGGTTTTGTTAACTTGGTTCCGCTAAGAATCTATTAGGAAGTGTACGATATGCTGAAGTCCTTCATATTCATTTATTCTTGTGAGTATCGATCTCTTTCGTATAAAACATACAGAGCTTCTGAAGTAAATCATGTATACATGAATGTGGTCCAATAAAATGTGTTCGAACCACTTACTGTTGTTGACCCCAAAATGCTCCACCAGTCAGGAGTCAATGCGGCGATTGTGTAACTTCTATGCTTTACAATAGAAAAAGAACAAGAAATATATATAAACTTCAGCTTTGTGAAGTAAGTTGAACTATTGTTTGACACATTTTGCACGGACTCTCTCGTCAAAAAAATAAAGCAAAAGTGCGTCAGTATTAAAAAAAAAGAAAAAAACAAATCAAAAAAGCGGTGGTGGTGGTGGTGGTAAAACATTTATTGCCAAAGCAAAATGGGAAGGGAACGGGGTCTTCGGTTCGGTGAGTGGAATCCTCTAGTCCGGGATCCCTTGGGAGCTTGCAGCTAGCTTGGTCCGGTTGATCAGGTGTACCTGGATCTTGTAGACCTCGCTGCGCAGCATCTCTTCCCACCGCCGGTCGTCAATAGTGTCGCCAAGCCCTGGAGTGTCCGGGCATGCCCGCATCATGTGCGAGAAAGTGGCTCTTTGCCCGCAGTGTTTGCAGGCGTCGTCGTTTCTGCGCCCCATGTGTTTCAGGACCACCGGGTTAGTGTAGTTGCCCGCCTGGGTCCTTCGCCAGGCAGTACTCTCGGCTTTGCTTAGCTCCCGGCGCGGGAGCCCGTACTGTCTCCTCTGGGCCTTGAAGTGGTCCAGCATGTCTGAGTACACCCACTGCCTCGCTTCTGCCCGGTCGACATATCTACGGACCCGAAGGTCTGCAGCCTGGTTACCTGGAATACCCTCGTGCCCCGGGACCCAGATAATTTCGAAAGTTGACGAACCGTTTGCGGCTCTCTCTAGGATTTTCGCGGCAGTAGCGCACACTCTGCCTCTCATATAATTCCTGCACGCATTCTGCGGGTCTGTCAGAATGTACGTGTGCCCCTTTCCCGCTCTGATCGCCATTGCGATTGCCGCCTCCTCTGCTTCCGTCATTGTCGCGTCTTTCAGTGACAAACTGTCCAGCTCTTTTCCGTCATGCCCGACGCAAACCGCGACTTTGTTGCTACCATACGCCGCAGCATCGGTGTACATGACGTTCTCTCTTCCTTCCATCTTTACTCTGTAGTAGTCAGCTCTTTCCTTTCTCCGTTCCTTGTGTATTTTTGGGTGCATGTGCCGCGGTATGGGGCTGACTCTGTATCGTTTCACCAAACTTTCGGTCAGCTGCCTTTCAGGTTTCTCGTCCTTATATCGCCGTAGCCGAGCCGGACTCCGGTCTCCCTTCCGACCTTGGTGAACCTCCATCGCTCCTTTTGTCCCAATATGACCGCGTCTCTGAATTCCCGGAAAGTGTTCGTGATTCCCATCTTTTCGAGCTTCTCTGTCGGCGTGCACGCCGGTAGATGCAGCGCAGTTTTGTAAGATTCCCGTAGTATGCAGTCCGCCCTGTTCTCATCTGCCTTCGTCATGTTGTAGTATGGAAGGCAGTATCTCATTTTGCTTACGATTAGCGCGTCTACTATCCGCAGCGTCTCGGCTTCCTTAAATCCCTTTTTCCTGTTTGCGATCCGCTTGATCATACCGCAAATCTGTTTCGCCGACGTCTTGATCTTATCGATCATCGTGCTCGGCTTTCCGTTGGATTGCAGCCACATACCGAGTATTCGGATGCAGTCCTTCTCCGGTACCATTTTCCCGCCGACCGTGATTTCGATCGGGACGCTCTTGTCGTATCCTGCACCGTGTAACCGAAGTATCTCCGATTTCTCCACCGAGATTTCCAGCCCGCACTTTACGTGTTCTTCGACTCGCTTCACCGCTTGCCGGAGAATTTCCACTTTCCTTCCTAGCTTCAGTTCTTTGCTTCCGACCCACAGCGTGACGTCATCCGCGTAGAACGCGAAGCCGAGGCCGTCTATGTCGTCGAGCTTTTTCGGTAGTTCCATCATGGTGATGTTGAACAGTAGCGGCGATATTACCGCTCCCTGTGGCGTTCCCTTATTTGTGAGTCCCACCAGCTTGGGATGCAAATCTCCAACGTGTATTCTTCCTTTCCGGTCTCTTAGGAAGTCCCTCACGTAGTTGTAGGTACGCTCGCCACAATTCATCGCCGCCAGCCTTTCCATCACGTATTCGTGATCGAAGTTATCAAACGCCGCCTTCAGGTCTATCGCCATGACCACTCGCTCGGTGTTCCTGCCCTTAGGAAATTCATCCAGTACGTTTTCTTTTAAAAGCGCAAAAATGTCCTGCGTACTAAGGTAAGGCCTGAACCCAAACATTGCGTTGTGGAAGAAGCCGTTCTCCTCGATGTACGGTTGCAGCCTGTTCTTGACGACTCTTTCCATTAGCTTCCCAACCGCCGAAGTCAGAGAGATCGGCCTCAGGTTTTCGAGTCCGATCTTCTTCCCCGGTTTCGAAATAAACTTTATGTCGGACTGCTTCCACTCATCCGGCAGCTTTCCTTGCTTCCAGACTTCGTTGAACATATCGGTGAGTCTCCTGTACTCCTTCTCTGGTAGGTTTCTTAATGCGCCGTTGGTGACTCCATCTCTGCCCGGCGTGCTGTTTCTCGCTTCCCTCGCCGCAGCCTTGACTTCCCCAATTCTAATCTCCTCGTCCAATTCCTGGTTTGGTCTGCCTGAATACTTCGGCAGCTCTTTGCCTCTCGTACCGTCCGGGATGTATCTTTGTGGCACGTACTCCATGAGTTCGTGATCGCTTCCCTTAAATTGGTGAATGATTCTTTGCATCGTCTTGCTTCCTTCGCTCCTCATCTTGGTCGGATCCACGAGGTAGTTGAGCAGAGCCCACGTATCCCTGTTCCCGAGTCCCTTGCCTTTCTTCATATCTTCACACCGCTGTTCCCAGTTGTGCCGAGCAAGTTGCTGCGCGTAC